TTGGCAACAATTGTTACCCAGGATGAAATGGCTGGTTTGGAGGGTGGAGTCGATGGCATTCTACCTGTCTGAGGTCCCACCCCTCCGCAAACCCCACCCTCTCCAGGCTCCACCCCTAAAATCCCCAGGAATTTGCCAGCCTGGAGTTGGCAACCCCATCTCCTTCGCAGCTAACCATCAACCTACCATTATCTGCCCCTTTGACTTCAGCTGACTTCCGCCCTCCCTTCTGCAGAGCAATTGTAATTTTGAGTGGTCTCCAGCCCTCACCTGGAGATTGGCAACAATGGTTCCCCATGAGGGACTGAGTGGTTTGGAGGGTGGAGTCTATGGCATTGTACCTGTCTGAGGTCCCCCCCCTCCTCAAACCTCACCCTCTTCAGGCTCCATCCCTCAAATCTCCAGGAATTGCCCATCTGGAGTTGGCAACCCTATCAGGACTGGCCCCAATGTGTTTTCTCCCAAAGGCCAAAGTAGGTGACAGGACCAAGCTTAGTTGCCTACCAACAGGCATTGATGGGAATGTAGGGTTGCCAGCTCTAAGGAGGGAAATACCTGGAGTTTTGGGGGGTGGATTCTGTAGTGGGCAGCATTGGGCGGGGTGGGGGGGCGGAAGGACTCAGCAGGTATAATGTCATAGGGTCTACCCTCCAAAGCAGCCATTTTCTCCAGGGGAAACTGATCTCTGTCATCTGGAAATCAATTGTAGCAGTGGGAGATCTCCAGGTCCCACCTGGAGTTTGGCAACCCTAGGGGAAAGTGTGCTGCACAGCAGGGGGTTGAAGAGAATGGTTTGATGGGTGCTGGGCCAAGATTGGCAACAATAGTTCCCCAGGAGCAAATAGCTGGGTTGGAGGGTGGAGTCTATGGCACTGTAACCTGTCTGAGGTCCCCATCTCCCCAGGCAGCTTTTAAAACATGATCCTGGGACCTACACACCACCAGACATTCCAACTGCCTTGCAGGGGGGGGGAGTATGAGGTGTGGAATGGAGTGAAGTCCAATCAGCTTCCATATGCAAAAGACCTTGAAGGTTCCATATGCAACTGACATTCCAACTGCCTTGCAGGGAGGGGGGTGAGTTTGAGGTGTGGAATGCAGTGAAGTCCAATCAGCTTCCATATGCAAAAGACCTTGAAACGCTGGGCGGGACTGCACAAAGCAGCCAGTCAACCCAGCCAGCGTCTTCTGACTGACAGTTCAAGCGTCCATACACTAAAGGGGCCAAATTTAGAATGTTCATATAGAATGTTTTTACTCAATTATATATAAGGAGAGATACCACACCATTCTCCACAGAGGCGACCAAAGCAGCTTACATTATCCTCCTCTCCTCCCTTTTATCCTCACAAGCATGTGACGTAGATTAAGCTGAAATTATGTGACTGGGCTCAAAATCACCCAGTGAGCTTCAACACTAAGATGGGGATTCAGATCAGGGTCTCCAAGAACCTAGTCTGAAGTTCTAACTGCTACACCTCACTGGCTTTCATAGGGTGGCTGCTGTTGAAACAGTAGCAAGCAGCCAGGCTTAGTTGAATCATGCAAGTCAGGAGGCATCAAGTGGTTGCCTAGCAAAGCTACAGGTGCTCTTTTAATTATTATTTTTTGGGGGGGGAGGGTTTCTAACCCCACAAATGTATTTTGTTTAGATTTCACATTTTTCTGCAAACCTATGGTGTTTTTCAGGTTTGCAGAAAGATCTGCCTTGCCCGTTCACAACTCCAATGACAGGATTCAAGTAACCTCACATTTGGCCAACTTGGCTATTATAATATACAAGAGGGGATCCACAAGGAACTTGTGGGGAAGGGACATCCCATTCCCTTGTCTTCCCCTCTCCCCCATCCCTTCTTCTGTCACTCATGCCCCATCACGTTCTGTCTCCTTTACCCTTTCCTCTGTCACTCATGCCCCCTTGCTTCTATCTCCCCCTGCCCCCTTGCCACCCCCCCATCCTTCTCCCTTGTAACCCAGACTCAAACCATTTGTCCTCTCTGCTGCCCTGAAGGGAACAATGATGGCGGTGGTGGCGGCTCCTGTCCTTCCCCTCCCCTGCTTGCCTCCAGCCAGCAGAGGACCATTGTTTGCCAGGAACCTATGGGAGTGGGATTCCTTGTCGCATCGATGGAAGGGAGTGGTTGAATGCAGCAGTGACTCCTCCTCCTCCTCTTTCTCCTCCACTTCCCTGAGCTTCCTGTTGGGGAATGCAGCTGCAGTGAGTACTGCCATGGTTGCAACACTGTCACCCGAGGGAGGCAAGCCACAACTCCTGATCCCTGCCCCTACTCCCTCCAAGTTGGGGGCAACCCGGGACTCTTCTTCTCTGCCTGAAACTTAGCCAAGGGGAAGCAGTAGCAATAGTAGTTGCTGGCAGTCTTGTCATTGTCTTCCTCCTCGTCATCTGCAGCACCTTGACAGCATCTTCCCATCCCACCCTCCTCCTTACACACCTGCCTGCATTCAGAGAACAGTTCTCTGTACCTGCACAGTCTTCTGTTTTGTTTTCTTTTGTTTTAAACCCTTTTAGTAGGGCTGCGGTGGCTCAGTGATTAAGATGCTGAACTGCAGGCCAGAAGGTCGGTAGTTCAGCAGTTCAAGACCTCAGTGCCGCATGATGGAGTGAGCTCCCTTCTCTGGCTCAAGATCCTGCCAACCTAGTTCGAAAGCAAGAAAATGCAAGAAGATAAATAGGTACCGCTTTGGTGGGAAGGTAACAGCATTCCGTGTGCCTCGGCGTCTAGTCATGCTAGCCACATGCCCACGGAAACGTCTTTGGACAGCGCTGGCTCTTCGTCTTGGAAACGGTGATGAACACTGCACCCTAGAGCTGGATTCGACTGGCTTTTGAGCAAGAGAAACCTTTACCTTTAGTAGCTTTAGGATTCCCCCAGGTTTGGGGAAAACTCTGTCAATGTGGCCCTGATCCACAGATTTAGCTATCCACAGACGGGGCCCACATATAGATATTAGATATATAGATTATAAGGACCATTAAATACATACACTAAACAGTGCAAACCAGATTGAAAAATTAAGAACAACACACTTCAGAGAGTATGGAATATACAGTGACCTGCCTAACATTTTACAGATGTCACAGTCCTGTTCCTTTTACAGGAATACCCTCCAGAACGTATCTGCAGAATAATAAAAGGTCACAGTCCTCTGCAGGCTGGCCATTCTAGCAGGTGCGAGTCACAACAGGGAAAGCTCAGGAACTGCTGCTCTTATCTATTTTTATTATCGGAGGCTTCTTTCAAGGAGCACTGCATATCAGGATGTCCCATCATCTTTAAATCTATCCTGTAATGAAGGCAAAGGTAGCGAGCAGAAGCAAGTCCTCTTAGAAGTAAGTTATTCACTGGGGTTTACTCCCAAGAAAGCGAATTTAGGATTGACGCTGAAACTGGGAAGTAATGACTTGCTTAATGAGCTACGTGACGCTTTGGTTGTCATTTTAATAGTTCAACAGCATTTTAAGGAACCTAGTGCCCAAACCAAAGGGATTTTTTTTTAGCAAGACACTTTAAGAATAGTTGCTTAAAGCAACTGAGAGGAAGAAATTGCTGAACATTTCTTGAAAGAAACAGTACTGCAAGACAAGCCAGGTGGCCACTAGATCACTTCTCTGCACTTCTACAAAGACTGAGGAGCACCCCTCTTCAGGGAATGTTTCTGCCTCCCCACAAGAGCAAAATCAAAAGGTTGGCGAAGGAACCAAAAAGCATTTTAAACACACAGCTTAAACAGGCACAAAAATGTTAAGGATAAACTGGAGGAGAATTTTCACAGGAGAAGCCAGTGGTGGTCTTCAGCTGCTCAGAACCATCCGCACCAGCTCTTCATAGTTAATCCACCCACTGCTGTCTTCATAGCCAGCGACCAGCACTTCCACTTCTTCCTCAATCATTTTCTCCCCCATAGTGAGAAGAATACTGTGCCATTTCCCTGTTTGTCAAAGACCCTCAGCCCCTTTACGTAATCCTCAAAGCTGCCTTGATCCTTGTTCTTTGCAATGGTTTGCATCATGGGCAGGAACTGTTTGACGCCTACAATTTTCAAATTCATTTCATCACTCTTGGGGTTCCTCAGAACTCAGCGGTTTGATCTTCTGTGAAGTCACACATTGTTGCTGCTCTGAGAGTTCTTCTTTGTTGCAAGCTGATCATTCCCTCCTCGGAATTATTTTATTGATAACATTTCATTGAACATTTGGTAACTTGTTAAGGTATTTTGGGGGGGAGGGGATTGGACTGGTGTTCAGTACATGACACTAGGCACATAATCCTAGAAGAGCAGCTTTTTTTGTACCTTGCAGCAAAATTAAGCAGGAGGTGCATCTGACAAAGTGCACCCTAGCTCACAAAAGGCCCAGATTCAAATTCTCTTCTACCATGAAAACTGGCTGGGTGCCCCTGGAATTACAGCCCATCCTCCCCACTACAGAGGTCAGTTCCCCTGGAGAAAAAGGATGCTTTGGAGGGTGGACGCTATGGCATTGCATCTCACTGAGGTTCCTGTCCTCTCCAAGCTCCAACCACAAACCTCCAGGAGTTCCCCAAACTGGATCTGGCAACTCTACCCTCCCATCCGCTGCCGGTGGCCAGGGTGGACCTGGCACCCTACCAACCTACCTTGTTGTAGGGATAAAATGGAGGAAGAGAGAACGACGTTGTAAAGCTGCTTCGGGTCCCCGTTGGGATGAAAAACGGGGTATAAATGTTTCAGTAAAGCCCCACTGACCTCAATGCAACTTATTTCCAAACATGCGCGGGATTGAGCTGCAAGGCAAAAGAACTGATACAATATTGTTGCAAAAAAACCCCACCCAGCCGCTTTTCCAAACTGCGAAACTACAGAGCTTATTTTAACATTACCCCCCCCCCCCCCTCCTGTTTTCGTTGTCCCTCCGCTTCTCTCGCCCTTCTTTCATTTCCCCTCTGCTCTCTGCCCCGGAGCCTGCGGCGGCTTCGCGTTCTTGACAAAGACGGAGGTATATTGTCCCTAGCGGCGCCCCGTCCACGCCGCGGCTGTTAGAGCATCATCATGGCGACGGCGCTGCTGCGGGAGCTCTCAATGTCAGCCGCTTGGGCAAGACACCTCGCGCGGGGGGCAAGAGCGGGAGCAGCCGCCGGCGGGGTCTCCTCGACTCCGGCCAGGTACGTGGGGCAGGGGAGGAGCGCGGCTGGATGGGGGGGGGGGAGAGTTTAGGTCCCCCTCCTCTTGGGCTTCGGGGTTTGTGGCTTCCCTGGACACCCTCCCCCCCCTCCTCTCTTATTGCCCCAAAGATGCCCCCCCCCCCCGTTTCTGTGGATCGTCTGTATTTAGGAAGGGCGCAGTTCGGAGGCTGAAAGAATGCGGGAAGGAAGCAGCTTTGCTTTTAAGGGTAAAAGCCACCAAGAGTCTTGTGGAAGCCTTGGATAATTCAGTAGGTTGGCAGCGCCATCTGCCTACTCGGGAGCAAGCCCGATGGGGGGAGCTTACTGCTAGCCAGTAAGGGTGCGTGCATCTGTGTTGAGTCCTAAACACACGCGGGCCTGCACCTTTTTCTAGTTACCTGGTTGATGTTCAGTTGGAGGGTTATAATATATAGGGGGGGGGGGATACTTAACTTGCCACACACATAAACAATGGAGAGAAAAGGTTGTAAAATGCAAATATAAGCTTATGACATTTCTGTGTGGTGCCAAATTGTATACAAAAAAAGAACGGAGTGATCCATTTGCGCAGCAGTTGTCACGGTGGTAATACTAGCTTTCTAGCTATGCTGAGGTAGTGTAACTGTTGTTGTGGGAAAGCAGCCCATAATTTCAAAACCCAGTTATTGTGATGATAATTATTTATTGATGTTGGTTGCTATGCCAGATCATCACTGAAGCTTATTATCCTCTTCCCCACATACTCACTAAACCTTTTCACATCTGTCTTTCACCTCTCTCTCTTTTGAACATCATGTGATCTGTGACAGTGACTAGCTAGAGATGCTGTTTCCAAGCCAGCACAGTCCTATAAAACTGGCAGGCTACTGTTTTTATCTTATCCAGCAGCATGACTTGAAAGAGCACACAAATTCCAAAGATTTTGGAAAAGCAGAAGTGATTTTAAAATAGAAGAGTAGTGCTTGTTTAAAATCTAGGAAATCATCACTTTTTAGGCGTGTATATTATGTGTTTGCTGAACATTGGGATAATGGTAGGTTACTGTAGCTGCTTCTAAAACAGATCTTATTTGACAACAAATTCTTGTGGAACTTTCAAAAGGGAGCACTGAATATGTTTAGAAATATAGATATTAAGATGAAAATGTGAGTTTATTGCACACAGTATTTTACTTTTTAAAGAACAGCATGTAATGAATGATTGCTGATTTTATTGAAGATGGCTTCTAAGATTTGAAGTGGGCTATGTTTATAATTTTGAGGTTTCGCAGTTGTGTATGCATAGAGTTTCAAACTCGTAACTAGTCAGAAACTAGTGTCCATTTGGTTTAAGCAAATGATTGCTTTCTGCCACGTACCACAAAGCAAAAACATGTCCTTGCACCACCAGCCAATCTGATGGATAGGGGAAAGAAAGAGTTGAGAAGCCCTTATTTCAAGCCCTAGGTATGGCAATGGGTATGGAAGAAGAAAAATATTAATTGAGGATCCTCAAAATGGGTGTTTTCCTTGCTTTTTGGCCCACGTTGTTGCATTTTTAAATGAACTGAGTATTCCAGTTTCTTGTCACCCGTTACTTTTTTATGTCCCCGATGTACTATAGGGGAAACACTTTTCCTATAAACCACTAATAGCCCAATCCTATGCATAACTACTCACAAGGCAGTTGATATTAATGGGCTTGGGCAAGGCAGTCTCTGCATAGAATTGGGCTGTAAGGAACAATTCATCCTGAAGCACCTCAAATATACTCTTGCCATTAAAGCTTTATGTCCAGTTGGTACCCAAAGTGTTCTTTGATGAAAATGTTGGATCAGAAAATTCACTATGAAATGTAGGTCCATATGATGCTGTTTCACAAATCAGAATATGTGTGACCTGCTCCAGAACAGAATATAAGAAGTAGTTCTTCTGGAAATGACAGTACATATTGTGGTGCTTCAAAGATAATATGCATGTAGAATGCTATGCATGATTAAAGTCACGTTGTAACAGTGGCATTTACAACCTAGTAAATATGCATAAGCTTCCATAGTTTTTATGAGCGGCTGTGATTCAGACATGGAGAATACAGAAGGTTTGAATCCCTGTTACCTCCATATAAAATCTCTTTAGTAGGTGTTTGAGGAGGACCTTTCTCTGCTTGCACCTTAACAATACTTGCAAGATGGACCAATGGTCTGATATAAGACAACTTCATATGTGTTCATATAGTAAACATACACAGATAGACTGCAATTGGTTTGTTTTCTAATGTAGTGTGTATGTAAATCCTAATGTTGTTACAGATCAGTATGTAGGAAGCAATCACATTTTCATTAGTTTGATGTTATTACCCACAGACTGGAAGAATACATCTTTGCACAAATACGAAAAGGGGCCCAAAAACTTCCTTGGCAGCTGTTTCCAAGATTGTTAAATGATTCCTGCAGCCCCAGTTTTTCTTTATTCTAGCTATAGGTTTTCAGAACATTTGTTCTGCTTCATTCTTCTTCTAAACCTATTAGGGAGCTAATGCATTAATGTGGCTTCCCTATTATTATTTAAATTCATCCAAAATTATTTTTAAAAAAGAGAGATCATTTTGTTGCTCCAGTCAGCACAGGTCTTGATCCATGAGTTATGTCAATAGTTCTTTTTTAGTGTTCCAAAGACAGTGTTTGCTCATGGCTGTGCACAGTGTGAGAGTTGCACACCAATATGTTCTGCAGGATTCCAAAGAATCCCAGGTTTCTTTTCTTGGCAGAAATACTGTGCCACTAAAATACTGCAGTTAAGTGGGTTGCTTGTGCAGTTGGTCCTACTCTGGATCCATTTCATGATACAATTTTTAAATTTCACTGACTGGAAATTGCTTGGAAGTTGTGCGGCATTGATGAGAACTTAATTTCGTAAATTCCAAAGGCTCCGCTGGTGTTACAGCGAGCCAGTTTGGTGTAGTGGTTAGGAGCACGGACTCTAATCTGGGAGAACCGGGTTTAATTTTCCACTCCTCCACATGCAACTGCTGGTGTGATCTTGGGTCAGTTACAAGTTCTTTCAGAGCTGTTCTCTCACGAGCAGTTCTCAAGAGAGCTCTCTCAGCCCCACCTACCTCACAGGGTGTCTATTGAGGGGAGAAGAAGGGAAAGGAGATTGTAAGTCGCTCTGAGACTCCTTCGGGTAGTGAAGGGTGGGGTATACAATCTCTTCTTTTTCTCTCTTACTTGATCTGAATCTCATATGGATCTTTCTTAAAGCAAGTAAGCCATTTTAGCAATTTCTGTGTAGTATATGAGTTGATAAGATTGAAACCATCCTTGAGGAGAAGCTAATATACAGTTTTGTAGAATAATGCAATTAATGTTTCTGGGCTGAAGTCTCTGCTACTTCATCTCCACATGACACATGTCAAATCAAAATGCAAATATGTTTCTGCTGCATTCAGATAATCAATTTCATGATCATTTCAGCAAACTTCCCACATATTCCATAATATCATAATTGTCTACTGTTTTTCTTTTGCTCCTGATAGCTGCATTTTCTTCAGCAGATAAACAGTCTTCTTTGCAAGACATATTACTTAACCAGCCATTCTGTTGCTGCAGGAATCTCAAGAATGTTATTCATTACAAAGCACATATTTGATTGTCAGTGTGAGAAACCTCAGTTCTTTTCGTAAGGTCAGTCTGAGTAGCCAAAGAGAACTGGCTGTTTCAAGCAGTATTTGAAATTTATTCTTCAGTCAGTGTGATTGTTGGCAATGCAAATATGTATTGCAGATCTTTTATACATTTCCAGTCAGGTTTTCAGGCTGAAGTGGCATCATACTCCCTTTAGATTTAGATAAAGTGAGAAGAGCTCTTTCCAGGTTGCTTTTATTTGTATATACTAACCATGTTCTACAGTTTAGAAAAATGCTAGTTCAGATTGGGGGGCGGGTTGCTGTCAAGTTGCAGATGCCTTATGCGATCCTGTAGGGTTTTCAAGAAGAGACGTTCAGAGGTTTGCCGTTGCTTGCCTCTGCTTTGCGACCCTGGTACTCCTTGGTGGTCTCCCATCCAAATAATGATGAGGGCTGATCCTGATTAGCTTCCAAGATCTGACAAGGTTAGGCTAGCCTGGGCTACCCAGGTCAGGGCAGTTCAATATACTGCTTTTTAAGAAAACAGGCAAGCAGCTATCTCTTTTGACGTTTCAGACTTTAAAAACTTCAGGCCTGTTAGTACTAAGCCATTAGAAGAAGAAATTGTGTCTTAATTGTATGTTTCTTTCCATGAAAGAAGCAGATTAAACTTTCAACAACTCCTTTAAGAGAGTCTTTATTTATTTAAAACATTTGTATGCCCCTTTCCTACTGCAGTGCTCTTGAGATAGTTTTCATATGAGGTAAAACAATAAAATTGACATAGACGGTGGAATAAAAATTGTAAAAAAAATCTGCTGCACAAACACAGCAGTTCACCGTTTTATGGACAGCACATCTTAATAAAACCAATTTAAAAACATATAGAAGATAGAATGATTGGAAAAATCAGGGCAAGGACCATATTGGTAGAAATCAAAATAACAAACTAAATATCTTTACACCCTTGCCTCCAGACCCTTTACCATAAAGCTTTGTTTGTAAAATTTACTCTGGTGCTTTTTGAAATAGTGTTGTTAAAAAGTGCATTTGTATCCCCTTCTTTCCCCCCTCATTATTATTCTTCCTTGTCATAGGTAAGCTAAATGAGCTCCCAAAGGTTTCTTCGAAGGCTGTGCTTGAGAGAGACTAATACTGCATCCTGAAATTAGATATCACTTTGTTTCCATATATGAGATTGTGTCTTTATGGCTCCCTGTGATTTTGGCTTGAACTTTAAACAGAACATTGTCTGTTCCAGAGATTAGTAGAGTCAGCTCCTTGACAGTTGAACCTCTAATATCTTGAATAAATCTGAATTACAAGAGTGTGTGGATCCTTGGGGAGAAGCCTCTGCTATGCCGGCATGCAGTGCAACAAGCACAGTCCCCCTCACC